AAAATATATATTTTTTTCAGGTTAAAATATATGAACCTTCAAAAGCAAGAAGGTCTTTTTCAGTGCCTTTTTTTTTTTCTTTGAAAATCAACCTCATCTTATAGGTTCTGAAGACGTGCTGTGCAGCCAAGGCAACCAAGGAGACCTCCTTATTACGACAGCACCGGCAGGTGTGGAGCAGAGAATGCCCCAGGCTGCAAAAAGCTGAGTAAGTACAGGCTAAAACCGCTTGTCATTATCTGCTGCAGTTTTTTGAATCAGCTTTTAACACAAAGAAAACCATTCCCCATAAGCCCCCCCTTTTCACCTGCGCAGAAATCTACATGACAAAGAGGTGGTGTCTAAAATAGGAGTTGACGGAGTCAGCCTGAAAAAGAACAAAAATGTACAGGTTGGGGAAAAAAGATAAAGAGAGCAATAAATTGATTTCTTGATGGGGTTGAATTGAGGTAGTGAAGTAACCAAGAGAAATTTGAGAGAAATAGTTGTGTCAGACTAGGAGAACGTTCTGCCATTCTGTGGTGCAGCGATGGGGGATAGGGGGCCAGAAATGTCCTGCCTTGTGAAGTGAGAAGGGCAGTGTTAGCTCTGGGGTGCAGCGTGTTTGGCTGTATGATGACTGTGTCTGAGCCAACCAAGGTTAACGATGTACACAACAGTCTGCCTCAGTAATGAGGCATATAGATATGCCGCTTCCTGCATCCCTCCACACATTAACAATAAGAATACCATGGGATGTGAAAAGCTATATTGTCAGGTAGAAAAGTGGTTCACTATTTGCTATAGTTACATTGTCTTTTTTCACACAGCTATACCAAGTCTCCAACCAGTTGCTAAAAAGCTAAAATTTGCATCACTGGCTGTTTCATTGTGGTTTTCACAGGTGGACAACTTCAAGAAAATATGGATGTTTGCTACTCATCTTTATTCCAAATCTGTCAAAAGCATAGGAAGAAAAATTTGCAAAGGTTCTAAGTGTTCGTTGAGAGTTTAGTGTCATGCTATAAGAAAAATATGGTAATTTACAAATTAAATTACTATAGGAATTTATGCAGTTTATGCAATTTATTATTTTTATTTTTTTTATCATATCCACTTTGCTGATTCAGCTTTTTCTTTTTTCCAAAAGACCCTGAGAGATATCATGTTGTTCCTGGACTCAGACACTTCCCCAGTTTGGGAGTTAAAGGGGGTTCAAAAGGATAGAAAATCATGCTAGTTTCTTCCCTAGTCTTCCCCTTATGAGGGGCCCCTATATCAGGGTCTCACAGGCCTAATCATCGGGGAGATAATCCTGCCATGTGTAATTTGTTAGAACTTCTACTCAGTAGAAGGCTAGGACTGCATATCACAAATCTGGGAATCTCTTAACATTTTGAATTGTCTCGGTCCGATATTCTGTCTGTGTTTTATCCCCGAGTAAAGCATGTTAAAACCAGACCCTAGAATTTCAAAATCTGAACTTTTGCATCTTGACACATCAACTAATCAGAGAGGGTGATCCGGCAGCTGGCTGGGAGACAGGCATTCCCTCAATGCTGTGATCTCTCCTCCTGCAGAGCTGTCAGCATAAAAACATTAAAATTAATAAATAAATTAATTAATTTGTTGATAAAAAAGCTTTGTTATTAATTTCCCATCTTTTCTTAAGTATCTGTTTGAAATGATTTTTTTGGTGTTTTGTGGATATGAACTAATTTCTCTTGTTCTCTCACTAAACAGAGAGCAAGAAGATGACAATATCCATCATTTTCTCAATCATATTAAACCAAGGGATGTAGCGGACACTGACATCTTCTTACTTCAACAATATGGTAAACCAAATTAACAATTTGTTTTTTTATACAGTTCTGAACAGAATTTTTTCAAAACTCCTCAAATCTATACATAGATCACCCGTACTTGGATGCATATCACTTAGTGACAGACATTTTTTCTGTAAAATAATCATCCACTCTAAACTAAGTGGATGAAACCTTGAGTGATCCAAGCACACATTAGAAGTGGTTTTAATTGATAAAGCACGTTAAAATAACCCTTGTAGAATGCTTTAACCCCCGAGGTGGAGGTACTGCAGTTGGTGGCCAGGAGACCATTGGCCAACTTTGGAAATTGACCTGACATTCCAGGAGCAACCCAAGGTGTTTGACAGATCACACCTAGATAAAACCTACCATTGAAAGATGCGCAATTAAGAGTATAAAACCAATGCAGACCAAGAGAACAATGGAGAGTTTAAAAATGAATACATAAATGCTTGGGTTGAATACAAAACATCATTTGAGAGAAAATTGCTTGCAGATAAAAAAGCATTAAGAAAAATCAGAGCTACTGTGCAAAAAACAAAACAAAACAAAAAAAAACTCTGAGGTGCTGTTTTTTTCTGCTTCATATTACACAATATCATAATTGAAAAATGACATTTTCCCCCATTTAGGATAAACCTGCAAAACAGGACCCCTGTAACTGAGAGCAGGCTAGATGCATATGAGGATACCCAACAGAGAAGAACACTGGTTCTTTAGATGCCAACCTAGATAAACCGATGCTTATTAAGATAAGGACATGTATAGAATTTTGCCCACTCTCTGGTCACCAACTGTATAAATGTGTAGTTCCACCAGTGCCTCACCCAATTGAAAAACTGCAGAACCTGCTAAAAAGCTTGGCCTAATCTGAAAACCAGCCAGTTTGAAATAGGTCTACATACAAAAAGCCCACGGCTCATATGAGATTCAAACTTCGTAAAGGACCAATACGCCCAGCAATAATAATAATATCCTTTTAATGTTCAGGGGAATCTCTTGAAAGGGAACGGAAGGAATTCAGAAAATCTACTGTTGATCCTGTGTATCAGCTCAGAGATGACCTGCGCTTCAGACTGGGAGAGATGGACGATCAGCAGCTCAAACACCCATCAAACTGGGAACAAGTACAAAAACAGGTATCTGTGGAAGATGAAAGAAAAAATCATATGTCTACACTTTAGCTACAGCAAAGTTAAGAAAAAGCTGCATTTGCCTTATTTATAAAAGACTAACACAATTTTCAATCCGTGCGATAAAGAATTTCTGCAGATATCAAATAGAATTGAACAACTTTTGATTTTGGTTTAGCCCATTTACTAAAGTTTAAACTCTTGCTTTTCATAAACTGAGTTGAACTTGTGCACTTGTGCATTATGTATGAGACCCTTTTCTTTCAGCTATTCATTTTTCCAAAGTCAGAATCAGGTATTTGTTTGACTCCAAGAAGTTTGTAGCTGGCTCTAGAGCTACCATTCAGAGAGAGTTTAAAAGGCAGGCCACTTGAACTGAACCATTTGCCAGACATTTTGTTGTCTTTGTGTTGCTCACTTCTACTTGTTTTTTCCCATGGCCTCATATTCTCTTGCTGGCTGGCTGCTCACATACAAACACAACAACCTTCACTCCTGTTTTCTAAATACAAAAAGGAATTCGCTTTGCAAGTAGACCTATAACTAGTTGCTTAAGGCTCAAATTTAAAGATAAATTATATGCTTTTAAGAAGGTATTCATCGTGACATTTTGGATTGCTGGAATTATACATCTTTACAAATGTTAAAATGAATCATTTAGGGTTTTAATAGTCAAAATAAGTTTGGTATTTTTTATTTTTTTTAATCAGGAGCTTGTTAGTAGTACACTTACTCTGTTTGCATTTCCATTGTTTAACCATTGTTTAACTCATGCAAATATTGAGACTAGTAAAAACGTACACAATACGAATGATGATCAGTTTTAAAGATTTTTCTAAAAAATATTTTCATGTTTGATTCAGTCATTAAAGTTTATTTAGTTTTCTTTTACCTTTTGTTTATAATTTCTTCATCTTGTGAAAAGTCTCCACAAACAGCAAACATTGATCTACCTTGTTCTTTATTTTTTCCTTTAAGTTACATGCCTCTAGTAATATTGTAATTTATCCTTCTCCGACAGAATAAATGTGGATGCTGTCATCTAAAGTAACTTATACTACAAAATAATTTATAGTTGTTTTATCATAGACCAACATAAAGTGATGGAAACTTGTAAAGTAAAAAGGAAAAATGTTTTCTTCCTTTAGGGGTTTCGTTTTTACAAGGTAACCCAACTATTTTTTAGAGCTAGAGCAATAAGGTGACTTTTTAGATAAAGAACTTTTCAAAATTAAATCAAATTCTTTAACTGTTGTGTCCATTCACTCAAGTTTGACAGAATTTTTTCTTGCAATTTTTTTGCGGTCAGTTTCTAGATGAGCAAAGCTGGTGGAGACAAAACTCAAAAGACATAAAGCTGTTAATGCAGCAAAAATTGGCTTTACAAAGCTTTCCTGACTTCATATGCTCATGATTTTTATTTGGAAAAAACTATGCAGGGTTTTCCTTTCATTTCACTATCATGCACTGCCTTAATTCTGTTGAATACACCAAGATTCTTAGTTATATACAGTAACATTTATGATAAAAATATTAGGGGTATGGGTGCTTTTTGAAGAGTCTTTAACCTAAATGCTAAATTTCATTCAGTAGCACCGATTTCAACACGTCAACTCAAACCAAGAATCATCAGATAAGATAATGCTTTTACATAGCTCTTATTGATCCTTTTATACCTTAAGGAGACTTGGGATTTGATATTTTGTTCAGGGATGCTCAGACGTGTGGATGCAGCTGGAACTGAGCTCCAAATCTTCCAACTGCCAGTCTTCCCGCTTGAGCTCCAGCTGCTGTGAAGACATTTGAAGCAACTCATTTCTTTTGTTTTGCCAATTTGTTCAGCATTGATACAGTCAGAGATAAAAAGCACCATTTAGTGCTCCCTCCCACAACCAAACAACTTAGCCAATCAGTGCAATTTATGAATGTCATCTTAAAAGTGTCAACCCAATTCATGTTTGTGTGAATAAAAACAGCTATTTACTTTTTCATTTGTGAGTTCTGCCTTGAGAAACACAGAAATACAACCCATTCCTTTTTCTCTGTTTTAAATGTATGTTTCCATTTGAGTTTTATATAAAGTGTCAGAGCTGTCTGAGAAGACAAGCAGCTACTGATTAGGTCCCATGAATCCTTCAATCAGTTTTTCAAATTCTCAGAGTGCAAGACAAAATGTGCTGTAATTTAAACCGAGAAGTCTCCCTTTGAATTATTGTTGCTGTTAAACAAATTATTTGATAGAGTTAAAGTTAAAAACAGTTTTCTGCTTCTCATTTTTTATTTATCAGATCAATTTTGTGAGAGACCAACAAATGGACATAATTGCAAAGCTCAAAGCAGAGTACCAGCACACAGAGGAGCAGATCACAGACCTTGGCTTGGAGGTATGTTTAATACTTGCTGTGCTATTAGCTTCAGTTGCTTCTCAGGAGATCATCATTTTTCATACTGTATATACTTTACATCTGTTGAATGGCAAGTCACTTTCAACCAAAGTCCATATAAAATTGAATATATATATAAAGGTGGATATTAAGATACAGTGGGTACGGAAAGTATTCAGACCCCTTTGAATTTTTCACTCTTTGTTTAAATATTAATGAGAAATAAAATGAACTTTTCTTTGATTGTGAAAAATTTAAAGGGGTCTGAATACTTTCCGTACCGAATGTATATGGTAATTGCATCCAACGATGCTAGTTTTCTAACAATTTAAGTATCAATGTAACATTTTACTTTTTTTTTTTCCTAATTGCTTTGAATCTGTTTTATTTTCCTATATTTTAATCATGCAAAGCACTTTGCATTGTCTTTGTACTGAATTGTGCTATACAAATACATTTGCCTTGCCCTGCCTTGCCTTACTTATTCAAAGAGAACCTGTGTTGATCGTGACCCATTCAACCCAGACTGACAACTCCCTTAGACTGACAGTCATGTCACCTTAGTGCTAGTGGTAATTTCTAATACTAGAGAGCCTAATTTTCCCATTTAAATATTGTAAAATTAATGGTAAAATATGCACTGGAAAACTTAATAAATGTAGTAATAATACTGCTTTAAATATGTGCTAAAATGCAACTGATTTCATGAGTATTTTGCGCATTAATCCGCTGTTTATTCCGCTCTCGGATGTGATTTTCCATCCGCTCTGCAGCAGCAGAACACTGCCTGTGAATCTCTATGAGAAATACCTGTTAAGGTTTTAGCCTCCATCTATTGAAGTAGGCAGCGAGAAAGTAGAGCCCTATCAGTGAGGCTACAGTAAACCTCTTAGGGGGTCCATGGAGCTGGGGTGGGTCGTGAAGCTGGTTGCTCGATGCCGATTGGCCAACATAAGTACTTAAATTTTTTTTGACTGACAGCGAGGAGGTTTTTCCCATGAGTTGAGAGGGAAAAGTCATCATTCATTCAGAACAGTCATCCTGTGCTGAACTCTGCCGTGGTTTCTGGTTTATTATTTCAGAGCGCTTCACAACAGCTATTTTCACCCATTGTAGAAAAGTGTTTTATGTGTTTCAATATTTCTTAATGCAATATGTGACGGTTAGATGTAATTAACACTCTACATTGAGGCTCCCCTGTTTCACAGAACAGCAGCCGCCACTGCTTAGTTCACAGCAATGTGCTGCTTGAGACTCTAGTAACGGTCATCATGACTTTAAAAGCAAAGAACTTTGTTTATGAAGCACAAGAATAACTTTTTTCTGTAGGTTTGGTTCCCTAAGATGAAAATAAATCATGTTGTGAGTAGTAAAGTAGAGGTCACCTTGCCTTTTTGGAAATAAAATGTGCAGAGACAGTGTCTCATTTTGAAATGAATATTAAAACTTTCTGTTTTAAGATATTTTTACACTTTTTGTAAAATCCAATTATTGGAGCAGAGTCTGTCAGTCAAAAATGTTTTCTTAATTTTCATATACAGCATATGGGCTACCGTTTCCTTACTAAATCATTTCCAGACTGAGGGTGTACTTTATCTGATCTGTTTAACCTTCATGAATTAATTAAATGCTGGAAAATTTGGAAATCATAAAAGGACATTTTAATGGGAGATGGACAGTTGCATTTTCACATTCTTACTAAAACAATATTTGTATCTGTAAGTTTTATCTAAGCTGTTTTGATGTTAGGACCTCCTGTCAGACATTAAGTTTAAATATTTTCTTTGTTCTTGTGAGTAAAGAAAGGCATTTCATTTGCGTAGACATTAAGGTTTATTAACCTAATTAATAAATGTCATGTTATGATTTCTTTTTAAAACTAGAGAGCTCATATCATAATAATCTCACAGTATTTTTTTTATGCAAGTAACTTGTAGGCAAAACGATTTACTATTAATTTTATTCCTTTGACCTAATCTGTAAATTTGAGAAAAAATAGTTTCAGATTCATAACAGCTTCATGCTGCATCAGAGTGTTTTTTGCTCATTAGTGTTTTATTTTCTTTAGAGATTCTCAATTAGAGACCATTTCCATTTAATTGAAATGGTAAAATGATGTCTGTATTTGAAAAGTTCGTTCTTCCTATTAGTGCGGTCAGATGTTTTTGTATGATTGCTTTTTCAAAGTTTATCTCCAAATACCATATGCTCTCTTATTTGTTACATAAAAAAATACATCTAAATTTGAATTACCAAAATTAACAAACACTAATATTTTGCTGAAACATCAGAGAAATATGTGGTGGTAGATAATGACTTTGTTTTGGCTATATTTTCCCTTCTAGAAATACTTTTTTGGTACTTTGGATACTGTTATGAGCTCAGAAATCATTCCTGAGGAGCTTTTGAATGCTGACTGCCCTTATCCGGACCTGAAGGACTCTCTGATCCACGCCTTTGAGTCCCTTTCAGAGAGGTACAAAGTCAGACTGCAGAGTCTGAAGGAGCAGCTGGAAAAAAATGACAGGTTAGCAAAGTGGCAAATGATATGATATTGATTTCCCAAAATAATATGAAATAATTTGGCAAAGTTATCCTGTTTTAAGTGTAACTCCTTATTTGGTAAACATGTTAAAATAATGAATTTGAAGTCTGCAGAACGAGTTGGAGCATGTCTGTGGTAGATGCTGTTACTTTTCTCCAAGTCATGCTGATGATTCAGATACGATTTTCTCCCCAGGTGGTTGATTGCACCAAGCTGCTTTGTGCATTTTGCTGTCTGTTACAGTAGCTTTAAAGGACTGTTAAGTTTGTTGTTTGAAGCAGCGTCGGCTGTTCTGTGTTCAACTTGTTTCAGGTTGTGTGGCTGGTGTCCAGAGGACCATGAGCGATTCCAGTTCACAGTTTCTATGTACACTCATGATATACCCAACTACAGAGCGCTCTGCATGGACATGCTGTTAAGGCAGTTCCCTGACAGGACAACGTTCGAACTGGTTAGTTTTTTTTGTGTATTTGTGTATTTATTCATACTTGTAAAATATGAGAGAGAAGAGATGCTCAAGCAGTTAGTCACAGCTTTTACAAATTCTGACCTGTCATGTTTTTCACAAACTCCTCCCACACCCATCCTTCCATTATCATCTCGATTCCCCGTTCTCCAGATGCTAAATTTGTTTCTTTGGTGTTCTGATCTGACTCCATGATCTGATTTTCAGGATTTTCATATAGTGTTCTTTTTAATTTTGAAAATGAATCATTCAGAGTTAATCAACAGAGTGGTTCGTTTGCAACAGATGTTTAGTTCGAATGTGAATTTAAGTTTTTCTTCTCACCTGTTCATTAGAAGGTTAGATGTCAAATTGTTTTAGAAAAGATTTACTTGTATTTAAAAAAAAAAGGGAAACCACTCAGCCTCAATTTGGTTAGCCTTTGATTCTTTTTTATTTGAGGTTTGTGACAAACTATACATTGCTGTAAAAAAAAAAAAAAACTTTCACTTTCAATGCATATAAGATTTTTTTAGACATTGTTGTGATGACGTAATGATAACAAATTAGCCTCTGTTCCTCATCTAGCTCAGCTACATTCTGTGCACACTGCCTTCTTTATGTTGCTGATTGAAAACAAAAGAAAGAGAGAAGGCAACATGTAAATACATTTTTGCATAAATATTCTCAAGTCTGAATGTTCCTCAAGCTCTAAAGTATATTGACCTGCTCCAGTTATTGATGCTTTTCTCATAACTAGCTTGGATTATTAGAATTTTGTTTTGTGCTTTCTGGCATTTCTTTATTAATCATAGACTTTTGTTTTTTGCTTCTAATGCTGTTTTTGCTCCAAAATTGGTTCTCACTCCTACTCCCCAGCAGATTTAAAGTTATTTTGTTTCATCCAAAGATTTTATTATTGAAAATAAATGAGAGAGGCATCTCCAAAAAGATAATTAAACAAAGTGAAAAGATTAAATGTCCCTTTTTATTTTGGTGTGATTAAAAAGGGATCTCTTTTTAATATTTCAAACCCTTCCTATATTTGCTGACCAGAATATTGTATTTTTCCACTGGTGTTTTTTTCTGTAAGAGTTGAGGTTAGGTTAATATTTTTTCCAGTTTGGAAGTATACACAGTTATATTAAAAGATAACTGTCAACTTAAATCGGCCATGTCTCTGAAAAATCGCATTTAACTGCAAATATGAGATTTTAATTGCAAATTATTCTTTCTAAATAAGTTCTAAACAAATAAAACAAAGTATGTGCATTATATGTACATGTATATGTAAAAAAAAAAAAAAGGTTTGTTGCTCTGGGAGATTGAAAGTTCAAAAGAGTAGAATAAAACAAGGCACTGCGATCTTATAAATATTCGTTGAAGCTCCTGTTTACTCCACTGTTCACTAAAATTATCATAACAATACGAACTTAATTTCAATACTGTAATGTTTGCACAAAACAAATCCTAAATTGATGTCATGAACTTTGTCACAACAAGAAATTTCACCTGAAAAAAGTTCCACTGACAGCAAAATTCAATGACAGGATTCACTTGCGTTTTTACTACATATTATACTTTTATTGTATGATAAATAAAGCAAGTCTTATAAACACATTCATTAATATATGTGTTGTGTATTGGTGGTGGGCGTATTGGTTTTCTAAACCAATGCTGACTGTATTGCTTAATATTAGAGGTGAACTGAAATCTGTCTCTTAGACTAGATTGAATTGATTATATATAGTTCTATATATAAATTGGATCTGTCTTGTAAAGTGGCTTGAGATGATATGTGTTGTGAACTGCAGCTACATAAATAACCCAAAATAAATTGGATTGTAATTGAACTTGGAGCTGCCTGGTGATCTCCAATTTTCCCAGGCAGAAGTCTGACTTGAAGAGGCATGCTTTTTATTTTTCTTGCAGGGAAAAAACTGACTAATGAGTGCAAACAGAATTCATAATCAACCAACACATCACCTGCACCAACACAGCACGTATCTGGACCTAAAGATTAAATGGTTCCACTGGTGTGATAACTGGTATTGATAATAATCCAAACACAAACATGTTTGCATTTTATAAATAAACAGAAACATTTTATTTTTTTTCCAAATTTTTGACCAAAAACATATATTCAGCGCAGAAATTAACTATGAGGTAAACGGACAGACTTAAGTTTGATTCATCCCTGTACAAATCCTGGCTTTGCTATATATGTAGTACTGCTTAGTGCATAACAAGTCAAATAACCTGCATTTGGCTTCCTTGTGATGTTGACGCAGTCATTTGCACGTTTCCCCCTCCCTAACTCACTCTGTTGGAAGCAGCCCTCCAGTGTGAGTCCCAGCCTCCCTGATCAATGTAGCTCAGCACCCTGAACCAAGATAAGCCTGGACAATGATCTGCTCAGCACGCAAGATGTGCCGTGTCACACACTGTGGACGACTGGCTCTCGCCGCCGCCTCATATCGCCATGACAACCGCCAGGCCCTCTCTCCTCCCCTCACCCTCACCCAGAGACCTGTCGTCATATCAGTTCCAGCTGGGTACCACATTTAGAGCCCTGATCGTTCAGCCTCGGGGGTGTTGCGACGAGGAGGAGTAGGTAGAGGAGGAGGAGAGGTGTCTTTCACCGCTCTCTTCCCTTTCCAGCTTTGATTCCACCTAATTCAGCTATTAGTCATAATTAAACTGGCTCGCTAATCAGTATGGGTATAGAATGATATTGTTAAACCCCTCTGATTAGATGCATAGATGCGGATGTGCCATTAGTGTAACCTTCAATTTATGTCATTTAGAGACAGACTTTTATCTGATGTTTGCTTCCAAATGAAGGGTCAGACGTTAAAAGACCGGAATCCAAAAACCTAAGTGGTTATACCTAAGTTAAAATAAACTTTTTTTTTAATGATTAGCTAATTTTGAAAAAGCTTTTAAGTAATTTTAGAATAAAAAAGAAAATCCTTCTATTGTCCCTGGGTAAATTATGCTGTAACAGCAGCAAAGCAACAGGCATTATATACATTGTGACACATGTATAAACTGTATAAAAAATAACAGAATAAAGTGAAAAAGGTCAAAAGTATAAATACTGCACAGTAAGGGCAAAAGGAAGTTTGAATATATATAGTGCAGACACTAAACAAGAATAAATAACCAAAATATACAACTGTGGACATTTTAAAAGAAGTCAGATGAAATAACAAAGTAGCAACATCAGAGATGTACAAATAACAACAGAATGCTATTTAAAATGACTAAAAAAGCAACAATGCAAAAATCAACATGAGTGTAAACACTTACTGAGGTTAGTGGGAGCAGTGAAGGTTATAAAGCTGCTAGGAGGAAGGATCTTTGATTACGCTGCTTTGTGTAGTTAGGGTACAGCAGTTTGTCACTGCAGGAGCTCTCAGGTTTGGATGATTTTATGGAATTATTCAAAATAATTAAACACAGAAGGAAAGTCATTCTAGCAAGTCAAATTATCACCTCACTTTACTCTGTTTCCCTTTAATATTATCCAGTATAACAAACTGTTTTAAAGTAACCTTTTTCATAACCAGAGTCTATTTTGTTATTCAAAACTAGCATAATGCAAGGCTTTTTGTGAGGTTCTTAGAGTTTTTGTATAGAACATATGTAAACGTGAAGACTGAGAAACACAGCAGGCACCTCAGAGACAAAGTTGTACAGAAGTTTTATGGTAGCGTTGGCTGTTTAGAAAAACAAGCTTTGACTACTGTAAAGAGCAGTGTTCTGTCCAACATATGAAAAGAGAAGGGGGGTGTTACAGCTGCAATACTACCAAGACTTGGCTGTCAAACTAAACTTTCAAGGCCCTGCAAAGAGAGCATTGATTAGAGAAGAAGCAAGATGGACCATGGCGAATGTGGAGGAGCAGCAGAGATTTACAGCTCAGCCTGGACAGTCCATGGATAAAAACAGATTCACACCATGAAAATCAGGCCCTTTTGCTAGAGTTGCAAAAACAAATCCATCCAAGAAACTCATTAGAAGTCAGTTTTGCAGTTTAAAACAAGCCAGATACATCAAAAAAATGCAGAAAAAGTGGCTCTGATCAAAGGAGATAAAATGTAATAAATGCTATGTGAGGCATAGAAGATCACCCTGAACAAACCATCATGGTTGATGGGTAGAGCTAAATGAGTGACAATCCTGGTAAAATTGATATGTTCAGATCAATGTTCACACATTAGAATGTCCAATTCAATGTTAACATTTAAAATAATTTTAAAATCAAGACATTGTGGAATTATTCTAAATGAAGCCTAGTCGGAAGTTCAACTGAAGAAACTAAATTACTAGCCTCATCATCAGAGGCTCATCTGCCTCTAATTCAAACCAATTAGCATTGAAACGCACCTCCACAAAGCCCAATCAGCATCCAGAGCTCATCTTAAAAGGTCTGCAAATCCACAACTCAGTCTGCTACCCAGGCAAGCGCAAGCAGTGATTGTGCTATGTCTGATTTTGACTCTGATTACCCTGATTCAACCACCTCCATCCCCTTCTCCACCATCATAGCTAGGCTCCATCTGGCTTTTCCATGGTGCTTCTTCAACCTCATCCCTATCAGAGTGTAATTCCTCCCGGACTCTTATTGCATTCCCAACCACATATAAACCGGTCCGGCTGAAGACCGCCTTGGTGAGTCTTGTTCTGCCAGAACTTTCTTCCCAAGGGGGAGTTTTTCCTCTCCACTGTCGCTTAATGCTTGCTCATCATGGAAAGGCTCATGCAAACCTGTGTTTATCAAGCTAAAAATGTGTCTTTCTGGGTCCCTGAGTGAAACACTAGTATCAGCTCATATTCTACAGGATCTCACCAATTCAGCTCAAGCACAGCATCTCACCAACCAGCAGTCTATGGACTGAACCAACGTCATCTACCTTCACTCCAACACCAGTTTAAGGCCTGTGAGGAAACATCCCTGTTCTCATACACCTGCTTCTGCACATTAAAATAAAATTCAGCGCTAATGATTCCTGCCGAGGTCTGAGCGCCAAAGTCTTACAATAATTGTGTCAATAAAGTTCTCTTTAATTGTCTTTATCTTTTCGTGTGAGTTTTTCAGATTGAAATGAAATGTTCCCTGCAATCTGAATAGATAGATGCCAGGTTTAAACAACTTTGCAAAAACAAAATGGCAAAAAAGAAAATATTTTCTTTGTGTGCAAAGGTGGCAAAGAAATAACATTAGTTCATGTCACTTGCTTTTATTTTCATTGCTGAAAACACTGGAAAATGTATTGATTTATCTGCACTTTACATTTCTAACCTCCTTGCAGCTTGTCAATGCCATGAATTAATTGTAGCTTGTTTGATTGCTGTTAAACTAGGAAAAGCATGTAGGGGAGTTAATACTTTTGCAATACACTAAGATAAACATGTTTTCTTTTAATTTTTGTTTGAATTCTTCAGATTACTGATCAATGATTAATACATTCTTTAACTTATACTTAAATGTCTCCCCTATAGAACAAAAAAATATTTATTTTATATTCTATTTTGTTCTATTCTATACATAGCATAGAAAGCATGGGCAAGGCAAAGGGTTTTTGTGTATCACAAGAACCTTATTTATCAATCATGCAGTCACATAGATTATTCAACCTTTTCAGGTTCTGCATTTACGTTTTGACTTTTGTAGAGTAATAACTCAAGCAAATGTCTGCCAAGACTCAGAATTTGTTTGTGACTACATCCAAGAGATTTGGAATTAATAACTTCTCATAGCAGCCTCAGCTTACAGCTGTGATCCCAGTACAAATAACTCTAATCATTTCTACATTTGCAGTTATAGTATAATGCATAGCGCATGATGAAGACATGCATTTAATGAGTGTTTTGCTCACTTAGAGTTGAAACAATCTCTGAGTTTTTATTGACAGATGGAAGGACTTACTTTGTGTAAAGAACTCCCTCTGCTGGACGGGCATTTTAGTTTATTACTATTTTTTTTATTTACAAGAAGTCATATGCCATATGATAATGCACTATATCAATGTCATAAAGTTCTGCAATAACAAAAGGGTTATTTAGAGTTTCTTGTAAAAGTATACATATCCCTTATTTATTTTTTTTCTAGTTGTAACTGTGAAACATAAACTATGTTGTTGGATTTATTGTGGTAGGCCAAGGTAAAGCATTTTGCTAATGCATTAGCAGGGAAATTATACCTGATTATATTTTTTAAAATAAAAGTGAAAATTGTAAAGTGCTTCTATCGTCAGGCTACTGACACATTTCATAGTTAAAGATGTTTTGGGTGTTTCAGGTTTGCAGATCAAGACAATGCACTCTTTGGTTTGCAAAATACCTGAAGCCTTCAGCATTTATGTCTGGACTTTGTCTGATCCATTTTTAAAAATTAGTTTACTTTTATCTAACATATTTTACTGTAGATCTTGCTGCTGCAGGCTGAAAAGGCTTTTTTGTGGCCTCCCAAACGTTTTCTATCCCTTTACCCTGTATTGGATCCATTTAGGATGACACTGCACTCCATGCCAAAAGTTCAGGTCTTCTCCCATCTGACCAGAGCACCTTCTTTCACATATGTCCTTGTTTGCTAAACTGCTAACTGGACTTTTAATGCTGTTAATCAATGGTTTTGTTCTTGCATCGTTCCCATAACTCATATATATGACATGCATGATTCATAATTTTTGTGTCAACCAGAGATATAGATCCCTACAGCTTTTCCAGAGTTAACATGGGCCCCCAACTGCTTTTCTGATTAATGATATCCTTGTCTATCAGTTTAGGTGTAGAAGGGCCACACTTCCATTTTCCTTCATTTCCCTTTCCTTCACTCCTTGGGATGTTGAGTGTTTTGAATATTGCTTTATTTGCCTTATGATCACTTATTATTGTAATTTAAATCTAAGAGCTTTAGAAGACAGCTTCATTAATATAGATTTGGTTAAAAAAAAGGTTGGCAGTGAACTTTATTTTCTGATCAGTTTAACAGGAGGCAAACATAAATCCGCTACCTCCTCTTGACATGTTTATTTGTAAATAAGAAAACCCAGAAATGTTGTTCTACTTATTTTTCACAGTTATGTGCTTAATGGTATAGACCTTTCACATGAAACCAAAATACTGCACTCTTAATTGATCAGCTTAAACTAATAAATTGTGAATAACTTTTGTTAGGCTCACTATATTACAGTTTTGGATTCCGTCCTCTGATTCTTTTTGTTTTGGACAACTAAGACATGTGGATGCTGCAGAATTTCACAGATGAGATGTGGTTTAGTGAAACCAAGTGTTGCCTGCCATGCTTTGGGGGTGTGGAGCAGAACTCTGTGCAGCTTGATGCATCCCCACACCATAACTGATTGTAATATACAACATTCATGCATGGATATATGGTGTCTGCAAACATAACCAACTCTCTTTATGCTAATTTGTGTGTTTATGCTAAGTGCATCAAAAACAAATAACCTAAGACAGGGACAGTGAAGGAGGGGATGAGGCAGAGTGAGTAATATGGGGTGAATCTTTCAAAGTTGCGCATTAATAAGCAGGATTTGCTCGACTAATCCTGCCACTTCTGTTGCAACGGCGGGTCTGTCAGCTACTCATTTTCAATAAAACCAGTCAGCCGTCTAATGCCTTCACACTGTCAGTTAGCCGCTATTAGCCCATAGATGAATATCATTCCCTCTGTTCCAATGAGGCAGCCAAGTGGTGCAGCCTCTGAGAGTGCTGACACAATGATGAATAGCTATGGGCAGCCCTCACATCGAAAAGGACTGTTTTCCTTCTGAACATTTCACAGCCAGGAGAGAAGGATGGTTTTATACCCCAGCGGAGCTCGATCTGGCACAGCATTGTCCCAATGGTAATGCTACCTTTTATGTAGACAGTGCATCATCCAGGAATGTTTGTGAATGTTTTGTAGCACATCATGAATTAGGTGCATAATAGCCTACAAGTAGAACCTTGCGGCAATAAATCAGTTTTTATAATTTTCTTTTGTCTTATTTTTTTTGTTTTTATAACTTTTTTTTTTAATGTTATACAAGATTACTCTCTTCATACTTGTCTCATTTCAAACTTCTATTGTTTCCTGATTTTTTTTGTCTCAGTTGTTTTACATATGAGAACTTTTTTTTGTTAAATTTTACCTTCCACATCTAGATCTGAAAAACAAAGAGATCACTTTGAAGGAAACTGATATGAAGTAGGCCAAGGTCATGAGGTTTATGACACAATTTTACCACATGATGCATAAAGAGGGTCCAAAAAAACTGGAAATGCACGGACATTTTGTTTTTTCAGCAGATAAACACAGTTTGGAAAGTGACAGAAAAAGCTTTATTAGCACCTAGAATACAACATGAAGTAGGACACACCATATAGAAAATCAGTCATGCTTTCTATCATTCACTTAGCTGCTGGGACTCCATAAAGTCATCCAGGAAGTCAAAAAAAATAAACTTCAACTAGTCCTAAAGTACTGCAGGCCTCACTTACCTCAGTTAAGTTCAATTCTCATTATTGGACAATATGCGAGTCAGTATAAATGGTGTCTTTCCATATTCAAAATGAAACTACAAAGGCCCTTAGCTGTACTACAGGGCATTTATGCTGGAAAACATCCGTGTAATTAAACTAAACCATTTTAGGAAGAGCAAAGTATCTGAAACAGTTGACTGCTGTTATGACTAAGGTTGGCATAACAAGGCATTAAATTAAGAGGCAGATTACTTTTCACATACGTCAAAATTGTTATGAATTGGTTATATTCCTTAACAAGGAAAGACATTATTTGAAAACTACTTTCTAAATGTACTTAGTTTATCTTTATTGATATACAACATGAGTCTGACAAAGAAAGTTAATAGTTTTAGTTTAATAGCAAGTGTCTATTTCATTCTCCTGCTTTCAGAGGCAGCATGAGCGATTGTGGGACATGCAGAGATTCACCAGGATGCAGTTAAGAGTTGTGACCCAGCAATGGCATAGAGACCAACAGGAACTTCTGGAAAGGGCCCTTTTCACGCTGCAGGAGGCGGAACACGCCCACCAGGAGGAGCTGGAGCACCACAAAGACCGCCAGCATCAGCAGAACATCTGCTTGGAGCTCAGAGAGAAAGTTAGTGTCTATTTCACTCACACCCCTGGTCTCCCTGTTATAAATACACATCTGTTTGTCTGGACAGAATGATGATAATTGATCTCAAAGCTGATCGAATAATGCACATTAGGCATCCTTTTGATGTGATGGTGAAGTGTGAAAGAGATTGCAAAGGCAGCCTTGTTCAACTGCCTGCTTGTTTATTGTATATCTGCTGATGAGGCTGTATATTAGGCCGCGCTGGCTGACAGCATCCCTTACTTTAGCTGCCGCTTGGGATGGGCTGTGAATGTAAACAAGCTAATAAGGATGGTCTGGCGAACATGATGCTGCTGTCTCCAAGGGGTGCTAGTTACACATTTACACAACAAATATATGTGATGCTGATGCTCTACTTTATAAATTCAGTTTTGCTTCCTCATGCTTTTTTTTTTTTTATTTGTTTGTTTTATTTAATGGTGCTTTATTCCTGTGGCTGTTTAGATAGGACGCTGTGACATTTGCTGGGTTTCCGCCAGCATGATTGAAGCTTATGTTGTCAAATATCAGCAGATTAGATGGTTGTGTGCTGCAGGTCTTGGTTCACTTTAAAAAAAAAAAACATGTTTTCTTGACATCTGCAGTTTCTGATCGCTCTTTCTATTTTTTAACTTGCTATTTAGTTACGTTTTAACACCATACTTGCTTAAGTTAATCATCTTTTCATGAAATAGCAACTTTTAAATGAGTATATTCGATATAAACATCACAGATGCAAATCTTAATGTCTTACAGTGGGTTTTATCTAAGAAATCAACACAATGTAGTGCGTAATTGGTAAGTTAGTAAGTTAGTGATTTTTGACAAATGTGAAGCAAAAAAAAGGGAACACATTTTGATTTTTTTTATGTCATTTTTTTTGCATTTGTCCATATTTCCCCCAACTTTTGAGCAGCTTTGTTGCACTTCTGAAGGAAATGTATATCCAAGATGTTGCCAGCATATGGCAAGCAGGAACGCAATGTGCTCTAATGCTATAAAAGTTTTAGTGTCTCATTAAACCAGAACACCTCCCATTTCCACATGTTTGCTGTTTTTCCTCCATGGCTTTGTGGGAGGAGGACCACTTATCGCCTTTTCTTATATTTACTGTCTTTTTGCCACACTTTCATAAATGCCTGACCTGTCTGTATCTAGTTGGGTTTGCTTATGAATTTAGAGTACTCTACTAAATGTTAAAAAATACTCAAAAGCATCTCCACAACTTTACTACTGTCTTTCTAATTTGATTTATCTGAATGTTAACAATCCTACAGGGCTTTCACAGAACTCCTGGATTTATATTTCAGTTTAATTTGGCTCAAGTAGACTATTTATTGAGTTATAATTTTGATTATCTAAAAAATCTTAAAATACATTGAAGTTTGTGTTGTATTGTGACAAACTGTGAAAACCTTCTTGGAATATTAAAACAGTAGTGAGACACTTAATATAAATGTGTTGCTTGAAAACCCTTAAGAACATGAAAACAGATGTTTTTGCATTTCAATCCCCGTCTCTTTTGCATTCAGTTTTGAATAAAAGACCAAACGAAAAACATGCCATAAAGAAGGTTTCAAACTTGCTTACTTTAAAGCCTGGCCTTCAGGAAAATTAACAACAATAAAATACATTTTCTAAAAGAGCTCACTCACATAAGTGTGGGTTGATAAATGTAAGTATATACATGAAAATGAACTGGTGTGAAAAGCTTTGATTTGATTTTGAAAGATTGGATTTTTTTTTAATAGAAGAAATTGAGCAGGCATGAAGCAAAAGACATAAAGTGTGAACAGAAAAAGGAAAAACATCCAACTAGTTTTAATCACATATATACCTATCCTTGCTTGTGTCTGTGAAAATAATGTAATGTGGGGTCATTAAGAAGCCCATCTTTAGACATCTGCATGGTACAAAACAATACTAATAATAACATCATTATCCATTTGTTACACTGATATTAACAGGACTAATTTTAACTCCAATTATGTTGAATTATATTGAAAGTGGTAAAGATGAGCTGAATCTTTCAAAACAAAAATGAAAGAGAATCTATGTGTTGAGAATAGCTGGACATGGAAACAAGAAGCATAACAGAAGAATCTAGCAAGAATCAAAGCTAAATACTGATGCAGGGATTGAGATAGCATTGGAAAATTCTAGGCAAAAGTGAGGGAAAGTTGAACAGCTGGGGCAGAGCGAGATAAGGGGAAACAGAGGGAGGAAGACTCATTAAGTCTAAGTCTAACACAGGAAGCAGACAAGAAGCTGAACTGAGACACAGATGATTTTACCTATCAAAATGAGAAAAGTCTTACACTGGCATAAGTGAAATTACCTGAATACAGGAAGCCATAAACAATGATAAAAAACCTAGAAACGTTTAAAGCAAAAAGAAACACAGGCATTTTACAGGCATCTTTACAAAAAAAACAAAACAAGTTACTGTATATCTTCTACATTATTTCACTGTTTTTTCCTCTTTTGCTCCTTCCTCTTTTCTATCTCTACCGTTCTCTTTACCCTTATTCTTAACTCATCTCCCTTTCTCATCTCCCTTTCCATCTCCATGTCCATTGTATAATATTTCATTCCCTAACTCATTTTCAATAAAGTTTCATGTAGAAGTATCAAGTCAAAACCTTGTGGCAACAACCATAATGGTCTGCTTGTGAAAGCAAATCTGCTGCGCTACCATCTAACTCTGGGACACTGTGTTGTAAATACCATTAACATTAGTTTCATCTTTATGCCTTTAGACTTAAATGATTTCATATCTGCTCCTTCCTATTACATAGTTTCTGCTGTATAATATCATCTTTGGCTTTTATTGCAGCAGTGATAAAGAAGAATGGGGTTCTTACATATTATTTGTGTGTATCAAGGCCAGTTTTCTCTTGACATCAGAAACATCTGCTGTGACTGCACCATAATAAAGTTTTGCCGGGAAGCAACACAAAGGTTTCTGAAATGATTTCATTTATGGTATAAAAACAATGCTTTCTCTTGATAACTTTAAAATATTTGTTTCTAGAAACAAGAAAAGACTTTGACTGGAAGTAGTTAAAATAAAACCACACATTCATATGGATAACATGCATGTAACTTATGTAAATACATGTTTTTTTTTTACCAACTTTTTCTATGCAATGACAGTATTGACAGAGCTTTGAGACAGGAACATTGCTTTTGTTTTGCACAGAATTCAGCTTACACTGAGGCTCAGGTGGATCCATGGTTGCATTCATTCGTTATTTCTCTTCTCTGTTATCATCACAGCACAGTGACACAGCTGAGAGACAAGATGGATTCTTCTTTCTACTGCATCTGCATCTTTAATGCTTTGGTTTCTGCAGCCCCTCCAGTGGGTCTAGTTCCATTGTAAAAGAAAGACCCAAGCGTAGGTTTAAGCAGACAGCAGGGAAAAGACAAATAAGTTAAAGTTTAATTATAGAAAAAATGACATCTTATAGCTCAAAACTCAATGTTTCAGAGAGAGAGGGAAACATGTCAGTATAGGAACATCTATGGCAAACAGCTGAGGAGTTCTGACTGTATGAAAACAAAAATCCAACAAAAAAATGAAAAAGGATTTGACTTATTCTAGAAGTTTTCTCAATGAGAGACCTAAGTAGGAAGGAAAGCAAGAAGGAAAGCATGATGAAAGTTAGATTGCCTCAAGAAAGTACCAGGATGTATCATAAAAACAGAACCCATAAATCCTCTCCTACCCAGAAGACAGCCATAGCAACCTGTTAAAGGTGTAAAAAGACATCGAATTTATTTATTTGATATTGCAATGGTATTATCTGATGGTTAATATTTTAGAAAAACCCAAACTGATTTTTTTTTAGTTAATTTATACCACTATTGATTTATATTAGCTAAAACAATATGATGTTAAGAAAATTTCACCAATAATGATACCCAAACAATATTTTTCTTTAATGCTTACCTTACTTTTTAAGCAGATCATAATTACTATGAACTCCTTATGAGTAATATTTGATTTTCTCTTTTCCTGTACATAGATATAGTGCTATCAACTCTAATGCATTTAAGTCATGATAAATCTGGTAAAAAAAAAAAAGAGGGGGAAAAAAATCAGATAGCTCAAGTTGTTAAAACAATAAGGAAGATAGAGCCTTGATTTTGAATAAGACTTTAAAACCAAAAAAATATTTCTTTGATGTGATAAACTCATATAAGATACCAGAGATTAAGCGTAGTGGAATCACTGTGTGCAAGTTTACTAGGAGATGACAATTATATTAGATAACTAGAACTGGAAGTTATAGCTAAGTAACAAGTCATTTAAATGGAGGGTAAAACAGTCAATGATTATTAGTTATATGATTATAACTGTAATTTGCTTTCTCACCAGGGTTTTTATTCTTTTACATAAAGGTTGGTCACCTGAATTGTTTGATAAAATCACCAATTAGTTATTTAGACTATGGGTACCAGCAGAGGAACTAATCACCAACCAAAGCAATGGTTATTAAAATTTTACTAAAAAGGAGGGTGGATCTGACCACAATTGGTTAAAATACAATGGTACCTTTATTAGCTGATAATCACACACAGTATCCAATAAGTCCACAAACACGAAATACTACTGAAAATAAGCAAAGTTCAGAACTCTTCTTTTAAATAAAACAACCAACGCATGTAAAAATATATTTCTAGGTAATTTTCGCCCAAGCAGAGAATTTATGAAGCATTGGATGAAAGAATTTAAAGGATGGTGGTTTAGTGTAATGGACGGGGCGGCGGTTTGACTCTCTTCGGTTGGTTGCATTCCATCCCGGTTGAGGCGCCCAGTTTGTTCGTCCGACAGGTGATTCTCAAAGATATTCGAGTCATTCTGATACAAACAACAGAATGAAACTTTGCAAGGCTTAATCTTGTCACTCACAGTAGCCTTTGAAGAGGGGGTCCCCTTAAGGCAGAGGATAGCTTTGTAGAAGCGCCTCAGATGATGGCAGCACAGCTCCAAA